TAACTAGATTTGGGAATAACTCAATTTTTATTTTAATCTCACTGGGGAACTAACTTTTTAAAGGTATCATATGAGGCAAAATTTAACCTAACAGTGCTCATTTTGTACACCCCCCCCCATTTTTTTTTTCCACTAGGGATTGAACCCAGGGACACCCATTGAGTCACATTCCTCAGCCCTTTTTATTTTTTGAGACAGGGTCTCGCTAAGTTGTTTGGGGCCTCACTGAGTTGCCGAGACTGGCTTTGAACTTTCAATCTTTCTGTCTCAGCCTCCTGAGCTGCTAGGATTACAGGCATGCACCATTGAGTCTGGCCCCACTTCTTTAAAACAGTATCTATACATACATTTTAGTTTTAACCCCAATGAACCCATAGGTACTTATTTGGGTTTTTGTTTTTTTTTTTCTGAAGAACTTTAATTTCACARGGTTCTACTTAATAAAATATTTTGAGCTTTAAACGAATAGTGAACTATGGTGTTAATCTTTAATTCATTGATTTATTAATCCCTGATTGACACCGAGTTTAACTGGATTAAATTAAAAATATAACACCAGAAGTCAACAAATAAGCCATGATATCTTTTTTTTAAAATATTTTTTAGTTATACATGGGCACAATATCTTTATTTTGTTTATTTATTTTTATTTATTTTATGCTGAGGATCGAACCCAGGGTCTCACACGTGTGAGGCGGGCACTCTACCGCTGAGCCATAACCCCAGCCCCATGATATCTTATTTTCCTATTCTTCTGGGACCCTAGGGACAAGCCTACTCCAAATGGCATCCATAATTCTACAATCAGATATTCAGTTTAGACCATCTTTTAAGAGCCCAGAGTGCTTTTGAGATACCAAAACATCTTTGTTCAATATACATCTATTGAACAGGAGTGGTAGTGCACACCTATAATCCTGGTGATTCAGGATGCTGAGGCAGGAGGATCACAAATTGGTGACCAGCCTCAGCAACTTAGCCAGATCCTGTCTCAGAATAAAAACTAAAAAGGACTGGAGATGTGGCTCAGTGGTTAAAAGCCCCTAGACTTAATATGCAATACCATACATACACATACATACACACACACACACACACACACTCTCACACACACACCATATGAAAAAATATTATTTACAGTAGAGAACAAAGCATAAAAAGACTGAATGAGAAGGCTCACCAACCTCTAGCAAAAAATAGTAAGAAATGGTACTCCAAGTAACCTATCCTCTACTTATTCCAAGGAACAATCTTATCTTTTTAAAAAGACTGAGCATCAGTACCTGGCAGAGTGATGTTGGCAAAAATAGGCTGTCCGTCAACATTGAGAGATGGCACAAATAGTTCAGTTTGGTTAACCAGAAGCCCGTCATATGTGCCTGCGTCTCTGAAGAGCCAAAGGTGACCTGTTAACACAAGCAGAGGCTGTAAAGGAGACACACTGGTCTAAGTCAAGGCACCTATTCTCTCTCTCCCCTGACATACATGATGTGCTTGCCTCTTGTTCTGCCGACAAGTCACAAAGTCTTTCCACCATCAATAACAACAGCAATCCTTAAAAAGGATCTATTTACAGATAAGAAAACTGGTTAAAGAAGGCAAGTCACTTGCTCTAGGCAACACACAGAATGCAGAACCTGTACCTAGGGCTCCAAATCTAAAATTTGGGCAGAAAAGCAAAGCCTAGGTCAAGTAATCAATTGCAAGTCACAATAAACATTGCAAACAGTAAGAAAATAAGCCATAGGTTCCTCATATCTAATTCTCAAAAAGGAGGTACAAAAAGAGCATAGTGTGATAAATGAGCCAGACAAAAATAGGGTGCATTCTGTATGAACAGGCAAAATTAACAAATGGTGGGGAAAATGGGGGGGGGGGCACAGGGAAGGAGGCAAACCTTCAGAACCAAGATTCCATTTGAGGAAGGAAGCTCAGAATAAATATCGCWCTCCTTCCTTGGGCATAAGTACTTGAAGATTTGGGTGGGAAATTTTAAGAACTTTAAACTGGTAATTTTTTGCTGTGGCAAAATATATCCAGGTGAGAGGGGTCTCCCCCTAATTTAACACTAACTATTTTAAGAGTACAATTTGGTAGCATTAAGTACATCCACATTTTTAAATAATTTTGTATTAAGCCAGGCAAATTTTGAAGAATACAAAATTCACACAATTTCCTCTATAAAATAAGTTCTACAGAAATATGGATCCCTGGAAGCACTGTGTCTGTGTTCTTCCTCTTCAAACATTAGTTTGGTCTAAAAGGCTGAGACACAACTTAATGTTGTAATACAGCAAGAAGACTGACACAAGATTCAAAGCAGATGTGGCCCTTGACTGAGGATTTCTTAACCTATAACTATTAAAAATACATTTCTTTTCTACATAAATTTTAAAAAGAAAGAAAAGAAAAACGAGAGGGCTGGGGATGTAGCTCAATGATACAGTGCTTGCCTAGCATGTATGAGGTCATGGGTTCAACCCCCAGTACCATAAAAAATTCATTAGCTTATTAAGTATGTCACCCTAAAAGAAGAAAAGACCCATCAAGAAGGATCAGCACAAGAAAATTAGGAAAATTAATCCAGAGTAGGACTACTCTCTGCCTGAGCTAGGGGAAGCTTACTGACTCCACCTTAGATAAGGCCTGGTTATCCCTCACCAGGGTTTTTTGTTTTGTTTTGTTTTGTTTTTGGCGGTGCTAGGACTGAACTTAGGGCCTCACACATGTTAAGCAAGTGCTTTACCACTGAGTCACATCCTTGGCCTCCCCTCACCAAGATTTTTATAACAGCTTCCTAACTGGTAGTTAGGAAGTAGTTCTCCCTCTCCAAGCCCCTCTGCAACCTGGCTGAGCCTCTTGGTATGTAAATCTGACTATGTCAAACAGCCCTATTTCACTAGGGCTACTTCTGAGCTTCTTTTCCTACCATTCCATACCCACCAMCCCTTCTGGCAAGGCCCCAGTCTTGGCACACGAGGTTCCTTCTGTCTACAACTCAACTCATATTTCTTGGATTGGCTGACTTCTACTCAATCCTGCTTCTGAACTGAGACCACAATCCCCTCCCACGCTCCCACAACCCCCTGAGCTCTGTTCCTATCGCAGCAATTATGACACTGGCTTATTCTTGTMTATTCATGAATCTCTCTCCCCAGTGGGACTATGGTCTCCACGATGGCAGGGACCCTATTCGAAACTGAAGCACTGGGAATATCAGGACTGAATGAACAGGCATTAGAGATGGAGCCACATTTGGGGGATAAATGCACTTGAAAGGGGGAAAAGCCACCTTCAAATGTAAATCTTTCAGTTTTACAAAGAAGGTTCTGCCACCTGCAGCATCAACTTGGATGTGTCACTACGTCTGTGTGGCTTCTGTTCCTCGACCATGAAATAGGAAAAACAGTAATTTCCCCTGGTTTCCAGGATGGGGGAAGGACTGAGTAGCATCGCTTTATAGTCCTGGCCTAGGGAGCGGAGCAGCGATCTGCATCGGCATCCGCGAGGGCTCGCGTCGCGCCCCGGGACAAAGCAGGCGGCGCGGCCGRGCCTCGTACCTCGGTAGCTGTGGATGCGGCGGCCCGTGCCCGGCGGCAGCGTGGGGTAGGGCTGCGGCTCGCCGTCGAAGTTGAGCCACACAGGTAGCACGACGCGCGGGCTGCGGTTGCAAAAGATGACCTGGGAGGGCTCCCGCGAGTTCACCGAGCGCAGCACCGGCCGCTGCCGCCCGGCCTCCATCTCCTCCTCGGCGCCCGATTCCTCCCGGTCTGACTCCTCCGGATCGGACTCCTCAGCGCCCGATTCCTCCCGGCCGTACTCCTCAGGGCCGTACTCTTCGGCGCCCGCCTCCTCGGCGCCCTCCTCAGCCGCTTCCMGGCTCCCCGCCTTCCGGGGCATTACCCCCGCAGCCTAGACAACCCTGGCCGGGTGGCCTCAGGATTCGCGGGCCGGACGCGGGGCGGGACGTGCGTGCGCGCCCCGGGCAGGCCTGCGCCACTCTTCGCGCGCTCTCGGTCAGGCATGGAACACGCAGCCGCAAAGACTATGCGCGTGCGCAGATGGGACCTCGAGCCGGGGGCGGAGTGGGTGTGTTCAGTTGTCGCGTTTCTACCGCGATTTCCTCTCTTAATCTTCTTTCGTTCCTAAGACTTTCAAGGTATTTGCCGAGTTTTTCTTACCATCTGCCCTATCATTTAAAGTTTTTCTTACTCATCGTTTGTTTCGTCTCTACTTTGGGCTACAAAATTTAACATGCACAGCAGCGTACCTAAGGGAAAAAATTTCCCTCCCACCTTTGCACCCCCCACTCACCGAAAGTTCCTGGAAACAAAAAAGTATAACCGGTGTTTGTTGTTGCTTTTGGTACCAGGGATTGAACCCAGGGGTGCTTAACCACCAAGCCACTCCCCAGCCCATTTGTATGTTTTAAGACGGTCTCACTGAGTTGCTTAGGGCCTCGCTAAATTGCTGAGGCTGACTTTGAACTCGCGCTCCTCCTGACTCAACCTCCCGTGAACCACCAGGTCCGACTTGTTTTGCTTTCTTTCAAAGATACTTGTGCATATGAAAGCGCTTAAACAAGTTTAAGAAGATTTTGTTTGTTTGTTTTGCCTGTGATCTAGGGATGAAACCTAAGTAAATGGGGATTATAGGTGTGCACCACCACACCAAGAGCATATCTTGGTTATTGTGGCTATAACTACTGTATATATGGGAGTACAGATGTTTCTTCAACATACTGATTTCATTTCCTTTGTATTTCAAATACTCTTTCACTTGTGCCCAGAATTGTGCCTTGATAAACTTTTAGAAGGCGAAAATATTTCAGTTGAAGTTTAATTATATAATTACATTTARTATAGTCTATCAAATAGCACAGCTGCAGGGCATGGCTCACACCCCTGTAATCCCAGCAACTGGGGATGCTGAGGCAGGAAGATTTCAGACTGAGGAACTACATTAGTAAGTAGTCTCAAAATAAAAAAGGCTGGGAATGTAGCTAAGTGGTAGAGTGTCCCTGGGTTCAAAACCGTCTACAGGGGTTTAAAAAAAAAAAAAAAAAAAAAAAGTTTAGCAATGCAGTACCCTGCATAGGTTGTTTACTCTCACGACTTCCTGGTTGACTGAGAACTGCAGCTCAGTGCTGCCACACAGCATCATGAGAGTACTGCATAGTCGGGAAATGATAATTTCCACTGAAAAGTCTATTGTGCTTACAAACATTGTAAAGCTGAAAAATAGTAAAGCCATTCTAGGTTATGGACCATCTACATAGCAAGTAGTGAGACTGCTGGATCATATGGTAGTTCTRTTTTTTAAGTTTTTAAGGCAACATCATGCTGTTTTACATAATGACCATACTAATGTACATTCCCCCAAATATACAAAAGGTCTCTCTTCCTCACATCCTTGACTACACTTATCTTTTGTCCTTTTTTTTGAGACAGGGTCTTGCCAAGTTGCTTAAGGCCTAGCTAAACTGCTAAGACTGGCTTCAAATTTGCAGTCCTCCTGCCTCAACCTCCTAAATCACTGGGATTACAGGTGTACASCACCATGCCCAYCCTGTATTCACTCTAAAAAGAAACACTGAGTTTGTCACATTGAATGAGTTCAGGTTGAGGATAATCTCAATTCAAAACTGCTTTGTGATGAATCCATATATTCTTTGTATTATTCTTACAGCTTTTCTGTGAGTCTGAAAAATGCTTCACAGATTATGGTTGGGAGATGCAGACTGAGACACAATACCAATCAATCTCCCTCTTAGTCTCAAARCCCAAAGGAGCCAAAGATAAACTTGTCCTAGACACCCTCAAATGCAAATGTCTATGCCAATGGACACCACCTGACTAAATGCCACGGGCAACTGCCCTTTTGCTCTGAATGGTCAGTGAGATCCAGAAAGAGGTTGATAGATRACCAGCATGGTACAGAAAATGAAACTCCCTTATGACGTGAGTGACTCAGCACTGACCTTGGGAATAAGGACTGGGTTCTAGTTTTGGCTTTGCCATTATAGTGGGTATAATTACTTGGCTTATCTGGGTTTGCTTCTTTTTTTATAGAAACAAAGAGTATCTCG